GCCGAAGCGTTTTAAATGCTATAGGTGAATCATTCTTACAATATTTAAAAGTTTATATCTTGACACTAAAAAATGATACGGGCCTGTGCCGTTTTGCATTGGCATTTAACCTCATAAAAATTTTTAAGAATATACATATTTAGGAAAATTATCTTAAGTATGACATTTAATTAATATAAAAAAATAAATTATAAAGTTCGGTTTTTTAGTTCAAATTGATAACAAAGATTATAATGGACTAAATTCATTAGAATCATTTGATAAATTAAAGCAGGAATTTAGCAGAATAATAGAAGAAAAATTTATTAGCGTAAATAAAAATGATTTGGAAAATAAATTGCATAATTTGTTAAGAGAATTTGTAATGATTATTGAAGGATGGGTGATGATAAAAAGTGAGAATGAAGGAGATATTAATAATAATGATATGATTCCTGTAAAAAGCATGCTACATAGACATAGGTTTGTAGATATATGTAGGTTTGTATGCACATATACACAGTTTTCTTCGATCCATGAAAGAAAACCTTAAGAATTACATTTATTTTCTCAAATTAAAAAATATACATTTTTTTCTCTAATAGAACAAAATTATGTTAGTCGGATAGTTGGAAATCTTCGGATATCCGGATTAAGATAAGTTATCATCTGAGTATAAAATCCGGATATCCGTATCCGACAACCTTATTGCTAAGTCCAGTAGATTATCTAACCATCCTTTTTATCCTTCTTTTACTAATAGACCGCAAAGTATTATTAAAAAATCTAAACAATTTTAAAATTAAGATTGGCCGGCTTAATTAATAACCGCGAATTGAATCAAATAAACAATATCTATAAAAAAGATAATTTGGTATTACTACTGGGTAATATTAGTGGCCACGAATTTGAAGTATTTTTACAAAATTATAAATTGAAAATAAAACAAAAACTGCTGACATGTGAGTATATATTTATCGCATTTATTCGAAAAATTATCCATCATCAAATACATATGTAATAGTAATCATCCTAATAGTTACCCACTCCGAAAGTCTAAAAATAATTTCCTATAATTTCCTATTTATTTTTAAATAAAATTTTCAAAAAAATATAACTTATTCTAGATGAGAATTTTGAAATGGAATTTAAAATCTATGTAGAATTACCATTTATTTTTGATCAAAAAAATAATGCCGAAAATTCTGTAAGTTTATTTTAGAATACTCCAATTTTTCGATAAATTACCTCAAATATTTGCTCTCCCTCGAATAATTACTACTTTTATATTAAACAAAACAAAAAACCAACCCCGCAAAAAACCAACCCCGCGATTCCATAATTGTGCTTGCATATACCCCTGGCTTCAAACAATATCTGGTTTTTACTTCTCATTATTGTGCTTTTTTTGTTTTTATGCTTTAAAATTTTTCTAACATGACTCCAACTTCAACACTTGCAGTTTCAATTTCTCATGGCCCCAACAGTGTCTTCTTCTCCATTCGCTTTTTCACAATTTTTTCCTCCTCTTCCCTCTCTACGGGCTTCCTTTTGTGTACGAATGCCAGTTACCTCTCCTTTCGCGATTTGATTCACATGTCCGTCTTCCTCTCCCATAGCCTCTTTCGCCTCCACTCGTTCCTTCATTATTATATATTTTACACTTGCCAGATGCACAGTTTTCCTCTCTCCATTTTCTGGATCTTCAAGGATTAATTTCGATTTTCTCGATTTCAATTACTTTGTAAAAGCCTTGGAACTTGTGATCAAAATTCACTACTTTATCTTCTTGTTAAAACGAAATCTCCTACCTTCCTCTCAACAATTTTTATAATTTTCTGCTGATTTTTCATTCGCTCTACGTTCTCTTGCAATTTAATTCTCACTTTTTAATGTACATCCTGTATTTACTCTTTCAGCTCCCTTGTGTATATACGCCGACAAATTAAAACACTCCCTTGTTTTTAAAACGTTTCTTTAATCAAATGTGAATAGAAATCAAGTGTGAAAAGAAATCAAGTGTGAATAGAAATGGGGAGGGGAAGGGGACAGGACCGCTTCTAAAAAAGTTAATGCCGAAGCTTCAAAATTAACAACTTTATTCATTTTTGGATTTTTTTTGTTGATTGAGTCGTGTTCTGACAATGCGTCAGTGGACAATCGTTCAGTGAGATATATCGAAGGTTATAGAACAAACGTATCCACTGACCATACTCCACTGACGCATTGTCCGGAAGCTGATTAAGTAGTAGGGTAAATGAATAAAGGCAAAGAACTCAATAAAATCGTCTCATTGTGTGGTAGCAAATTATAACATATTTTAAATTCAAGTTTGTCCAAGTAATCAAAGAAAAGTTCCAAAATAACAATAAATCGGATTTATTCAATTCTGCTTTAAATTATTTAAAGTCAATTATTTCTGAATGGGCTAAAAATGTTTATAATTGTATAGACATTGAATTTTTGTTGAGTGGCTCGAAATTATTAAATACAGATATTGTTGAATCTGACGTTGATGGATTTGTTGTTTTAAATAAAAATAAAGACGATGGGTGTAAAATAAATGAATTAAATCAGTTTATTGGTAATGGAAACATTGATGAATGTAAAAATTTTGAAAATGTTGAAGAATCAGAAATATCACTTTTTTGTTTATTATACAATGTAAATAAATTAAAATTTTTTATAGGCCCCAGAAATTTATTTTGTAACCATCCTGAAATAGGGGCATACAGAGTAGAGACGACTGGGAGTGTCGTACAAGAATCAAGATCTCGATAAATCTCGATTCTCTATAACCGATATTTTACATCGAGATCTCGTTTCGGTTTCGCTCTTTATTAATAAAATACTCAAATTCCAAGTCTCAAAACCAGGACTAGACCCAAGACCAAAACCGAAAAAACCCTTGGAATCGAGACCAAGAATCTCGGATGTCTCTAGTGGCAGCTATAATTTTTCACCATCTCCATAAAGAACCTTATGAGTGGGGTCTATTTATGGGGTGAGAATTTCAACCATCCCAAAACCATCTCAAAAGGAAAGGTGAATTTAAACTTTTTTAATAATTAAATATTTAAATAAAATTAATTTATTTAGGAAGCCCCAATTCATCAGCTTCGTAAAACCATTCACACCCGCATTAAAATAATCGAATTTATTTTATTTAAAATTAAATTTGATATATCATTTGTCATATTAGATGATATAATACCAATAAAATTAAATAAATTTATTCAACAAAATAATTTTGAAATTGAAAAAATAATTGAAAAATTGGAAGAGTTACAAAATTTAGAAATTAATGACAATAAAACTAAAGAAAAACATGGAGAAATATTAACATTAGCTTCATATAATTCAAATAAAATTATCAAAAATATTATTGATAAAAGTGGGAATTTAAATAAATTCATATTTCTAACAAAAACTTTGAAATTGTGGGCTAAAAGTAAATCTTTAAATTTATTTTTAGTTGATAGGTATCAGGGATGGGACGGTTGAGAAAAAAGTTGGTAGGGTTTTGGAAGATTTATCTGGTCGGTGGTATCAGGTCGGAAAAAGTAAGGCTACGGGTAACCCATGCTATCACTGGTTTGATAATCAAAAGTATGGTATCTCTTCCGCATTCCATCTCCCCTTTCAATCATTAATTGGCAAACTAATTGTTTTAATACGAGAAAAGTCGAATATCCGAAAATTTGGGATCATATCCAAATATCCAGGGATTTACCAGAATCCCCTATCTTAAATATTTATAATTAAGTTTACATATGTATATTATAATTATTTATAACGATGAAGCTTTAGATTGACTTGGCAGTTTTTTATTAGTTATTTTTAACATCCGTTTTCTAACCCAGAAGGCATAAGGAAACTAAAAAATTCATACCCGTCCTTTCTCTATAGGTAACTTATCAAGTATTATAAAAAAATTATTGCTTTATTCGTTAAAACTGGGCGTTTTACAAATTTATTTTGGAAAATTATACAAAAAAATTTCAGATCATTATATTTATAATAGTCAATTTGGTTTTCTAAATGGAGCAGCTTTTAATTTGCTTGTTCTTAAGATTGTTCTACTTTATTTAGATTCATCCCAAATTTATTTGTTAAAAAAATTTTTTGAAACATTTAGTGAATGGTTAATAATTTTTAAGTAAATAAAATATTAAATTTTTTAGGGATTGGAAATTTCCAGTCAAATTAGAAGAATTAAGTCAAAAATCGCAGAGTTGGAATGAAGAATCAGAAATTAATTTTAGAAAGAACCAATATCTTTCAAAATATATTAATTATAGTAATGAAGAAAGAATTCGATTAGAAAAACATACTAATCCAATAATGGTTGTGTTAACACTTGGTTATCCAGAACAGAATTGTTCATATAATGTTAATTATTCTACGAGAAAGATTATTTTAAAAGAGTTTGAAAATGGTTATTTATTTTTATGAAATATTAATTTATAGTTTAGTAAGATTTTGCAAAATTATTGCTTCGGAAGAAAACGAAAATTTAAATCCAGGCACTTTATGAGAGTAGGGTTGTTGATTCTGGACCGAGCCAAAGAACAGAGGATTTTTCGGTTCGGTTCTTTGGTTCGGTTTCGGATATTCGAAGAATTTTCAAGAATTCGAAGAATTTCCTGGAAATTCGAAGAATTTCCAGGAAATGAAGACCCCTAAACGAGGGTCTTCATTTTCTTTTTATAATTTAAAATAGAAACTAAGATCACTATAAAATCTAGGTTAGTGAAATAGATGTCTTTCGAGATAACAATCTCGATTCAAGTATGATCCTACATGTTGCTCTTAAATACTAGCTGATTTTTTAACTACTCATCAGTTAGATCTTAGATTCTTTACTTTAAGTAAAGCATTCTACATATATTTGAAAAGCTTATCGTTAGAGTCAATAAATATAAAATAATGTTGTTTTAGAAAATAATTTATTTTTCAATATAAATTTAGGAAATGATATTGTTAAAAATATTAAAAATAATAATAAAGGAAATGAAGCAATGGTAAAAGCTTGGAATGATTGGTTAAGTGGTACTAGTTTTTTAATAAAGGTAAAAAATTAAATTAAAATTATTTTAAAATAATAACTAAATTAAAGTATAAACATTTTTTGCTCATTTTATGTCTTGATGAAAATATGTTTGAAGAAAGCGAAAATTATTGTCGTTTTATTGAGAGTCGAATCCGTTTAGAATTAATTTTTACGATTGAAGAAGATCAAGAACAAATAAAATATACTCATGCAACTAGTCATGAAAAATGTTTGCCAAAAGAAATTAAAGAAAAATATAGGTAAATAGATACATATAAGGTGGAGATAGGATTGAGAATTAATAGACGTTCCCATCAAGCCATAGTGTAACAGACTACTCCATGAAATAACAAGGTTATCCGTAACCAGGAGTCTTTTCGAACTAGCACCGGCCCAACTTTTTCTCAACCAATGACTCGCTGAAGAGAAAAGTCATTCTTAGAGCTCTTGCACGATCGGAGGAATTAGTCGTAGCATGTAGATCACTCTGAAAGAGTGAGCGGTACTAACAAATAATCTCTTATTATCCCGTCCTTCATCCCATTATTCTCGACTAATAGCTTCAGCTCTAAACCCAGAACTGGATCTGTATTTAAACTATTTCGTCTTAATTTCAAAATTTAATTTTTCAAATTTTAGTGTCAATTATATCCAACATTGGTGGGTTGGAATTGAAACAAATAAATTTATAAAACAAATAGAGTTTAATAAAAACAATGGAAATATTTTAAATAAATTTGTTCAAAATATTAACTATAAAACACCTTCTGCGTTATTAAATAAAAGTAGAAAAGTTGAATGACTTTTTAGTTTGCCTATTCTTGCCTATTTCAGACTTTTTGCGCCTTCTTGCCTATTTTGGAATTTTCGGTACTATTTTTGCCTTTTTTAGCGATTTTTCCTAAATTTTGCCTAAAAATCAGTGAAAATCTAAAAAAATCAGCCCAGATTTTAAAAAAATACGTGCCAACCCCAAATTTTAATTTATAATTCGACAAATTAAGTATTTTTACTCCGATGGACATTTTGAAATTAGACGTTTTGGTGTTGGGACATTTTGGGGTGGGACATTTTGTGGGTTGGGCAAGACTTGCTATTTGTCAATTATCGACATTTTTAAAAATTGCACCATTTTTGCTCAAAAAATGATTTAAAATGACGAATAAATGGCAAAATGGTCAAAAAACGGCGAATAGGTGGTTATTTTCTTGTTTTTATCATAATTTTATAGGCTGATAACCTTTTTTACCTGCCTATTTTTGTGCCTTTTTTGGCTTTTTGGTGCCTATTTTAGGCGCCTATTTCACTAATTTTACTTGCCTAACTATCACAGCCTTAGTGATGAATTAAAAGAATGTTTAAATAAATAATTTAACTATTTTTTTATTTTTTATTGATTTAAAATTTTAATCATTGTAGCCTCGAACGGGATATGGGTTTCTATGGTAGAGCATGTCGGGTTTCGGAGGAAGGATACAGCTCGATGTTCGTCGGGGTCCTGCTATTTAATTTTATTATTCAATAATCTTTAGAGAATTAATTTACAATATAATAGCATGAATATTTTGTAATTAAATTTATCAAGTCGGGCCTAATATCCTAGGTCCTACGTGATGTTTCGGTCCTACTCGGAAGTATATTAGGATATGGCGAATTAGAGAGATTTCAGGGGATATCATTAGATATAAGAAGGTTTTTAGGTGATATTCATTCAAATCACACAGGATTATCCCCACCTGATATTAGCAAACATGTGAACATTTTTCATTGAGCTTCCCCTCCTATATTTTCACCCCTCCCACCTTCCCCAATATTTGTCCAAAAAATTGAACAACAAATGATTAAGTTCAGATATGTTCTTCAAATTTAATCCTTTATTCTAATAATTTCACATATCCTCAATTTTAATCTTCTACTATTCCATTTTTTCTAATAAACAATAAATTCATGTAATTTTTAAATTTAATAAATGGTTTTTTAATCTAATTTTTTTTATAAAATCTAAATTATTTTTCCCCTATTAGTGAACCTCATTATGAGATATTTTTCATCCTTAAGTTTATCTTAAAAATATCCCTTGTTCAATAATAGTATTTTACATTGGATATCTAAATTAAGGATTAAAATGGCAAGATTATATTTTAGAGATAGGGTGTTGTTTATTCAAAAATCTTAGTGAATAATAATTCCTATACTAGTACAGTTATGATTCCATTTTTATACCTTTATTATACTGAGTTAACTCTAGATTAAAAATAATTATTTCAGTTCTGACTTTAAGAATATGTTAAAGAATATGGACGGATTAAAGATACATGTAAAAATATAAATTCGCATTTATGAACATAAGTTAGATAGATACACTTAAAAAATTATGTTTCCATATTTAAACATTTCATTTATGATACCATTTATCTAAAAAATATGTGCAAATTTTTGTCAAAGTTTATGCGTGCATTCAAATACAAAAAAGGAATGTCTTCAAAGCCTATTAATAAAAGCAAAATATTTAATAAAATCTTGATATTTTTGTTTTTTTAAAGAAATGTTTTGGCATTAAAAACTTTTTTATATTATTTGTTTAAAAATGTTTTTTATCTTAATTAAAAAATCAAATGGCAGGAAATTCTTTAAAAATGCAAAAATAATATATTTTTACCTTTATTTTTATTTTTTAGCAAAAAAATTTTCTTTCAGAAAAAGTAGATACATTTTTATTTTAATAATTTTTATTAGCACAAGTAAACTAAGGCACTTTAGGTGTGAAATATAATTTTAGGTGAATAGAGCTTTTTATTCTCATTTATTTCATGGTACTAAAATTCGAACTACTTATCGGGAAAAAATAGGTGATTCTGCTATAATTATGAAGCAGACACTAATCGTCTAAATTTAAATATTTTGTTAAAAATTTAACTAATTATTTAATTTTTAATATTAAATTATTTGTTCTTATTATAGTAATAGTCAAATGAATCATTTATCTTTTTTAATCAAAGGAAAAGGTTTTCAAAAAATTTTTTAAAATGAATGAAACTAATACAACATTAAAATTACCTGTAAATTTATTATAATTAAAAATCGAAAATAAATTTTTTAAAGGGAATATTTATGGCTTATCCATCTTCGGGATTTCAGTTTGCCATTTTTCTTCCTGCATTTTTTCTGGGCTTAATTTCTTTATTTGGAATTTCAATGAATTCAAGTGTTTGTTATATAGTTGTGAAATATTGGTAATTTTAATATATTATTTTGTAGTTCCGATTATCGATATCCGTCCTATAATATTCGAAAAATCACATGTACATTTTAACCAAAAAATATTATTTCTTTGGTTAATATTAAATAAACTCTTAGGGGAAAATATACGGCAATGAAAAGCAAAACAAGCATTTTACTGGCTATCAACTCGTTTTGTGAAATTTTACATCAAATTGGGCATATTTTCTTTTTGATTTTTACAATAAAAGGCATAAACTTTGTACCAGCAATTGTGGCATTTAAATATCAGGCTATACCAATCTTTGGTGCTTTTGCATCTATTTTTATGTTTGGGTCATTAAGTCTGGATCGATTTCTTGCTGTCGCTTTTCCAATATTGTAATTTTTATAAATTAAATTTTGATTTATCTTAGAAATGTCATCTACATGAAACCGAAACGTAACGCCAAGATAAAAAAAAGGATAAAATTAAAATTTCATCCCTTTGATCGCTGAACTTTTAATTAAAGAATTTCTAGTAAAACCAGACATCCGACCCCGAACTTATCCAAAAGTCAACCCCTATTTCGAAACCCGTCACCCCTCCTCGGCAAACCCCGATCCCCCAATACTTCCGACCCTGAAGGCTCGGGGAGATACCCTAGTTTGAATAACAGCTTTTGCATATCCTGGCAAAGAACAAAGAACTAATACTGGAACTTCTCTCCATTTTAGCATAGAAATTTCCATTCAGAATATTTTTCAGTATCGTTTTTTAAAATTTCTAAATATTATCAGTTACATCAACCTTAATTTTGTTCTCTATATCTCAATACATTTGTTGATAATTGTTATTTTTGGAATAGTTATTGTTCATTTAGAATATACTTTAATAGAAGCATATCCAAATTGGCCAGTAGCTAATTTTATCGGAGAAATTATTGGCTTTAGTGCTCCAAATTCATTTGATTCGATAATTATTTTGTTACCATTAATGTTAATTGCTATAATATTACATATTGCTGTTGGAATTTTGGTAAAAATTAAAGGAGGTAAAGACATAAAAATCTGGTAATACTAAAATCTATTACAATCAGATTTGCCAGATGAAAAGATGCGTAAATTGTTACGAACGCTTTCTTTAATAGTTTTTGTAAATATTGGCGGTTATTTTAGTATGATGCTATTAGCTCTTTTGTGGCCATTTTTTGGGATTTCTGAAGATGATATTTGGTTTTTAAGAGTTTATTTTGGGATTATACTTAATATATCTGCAGCTTCTAATGGTCCTATTCTATTTCTAAGCAGGTAAAAATAGAAAATATTTTTGCAAAATAGGATATAGATAGGAGACAATGTTATGCCCTAAATGTAACAAAAGAATAAAAATACTAATATGTAGAATAACAATCCCAAGAGTAAATACAAAAGTAGCAATGGTGACAATATGTTTGAATAATATATAGGAATAGGGTGTATATTATAAAGAAAAAAAGATGATTATTGGTATCGGGATTTAACGCCATAGAGTTTACATATGTATCTCTAGATTAAAAATTAACTATTTCAGTTCTGACTTTAATAAAGCATATGCTAAAGAATTTGGAAAGATTAAAGAAACATTAAAGAAAATAAATTCTCCATAATGAAGGAAATTAAACAATATTATTTACCATATTTAAATATTTTAATTATGATTAATATTTATATAAATATTTTTTAACTTGATGAATTGTAATTTTTATATTTGTTATGTAAAATTTCAATTCTATTTTTGAATAATATTAGGAATTAGTGTTCGCAAAAATATCAAAACTTCTTCAGTTAAAGAACGTATACGAAAGTTCCAAAACCAATAAATAATTGAATGACAACAAATACTCAACTTTAAAGTGAATTTTTATTTTTAATTAAATTAAATATTATTGTGAGAAAATCTTTAGAAAAGTCAGAGAATCTACCAGAAATGTCAAACCTTTGTCCAAAATTTTTCCCTGGCCTTCAATTCAAACGGTCAGAAATTTAGCAAATTCTTGATTGAATTTGTTCCTTTTTATTTCTTCTTATTTTCTTTTTGGATATAGTGTAGTGTACCGGTGGTAAAAGTTCGGGACGTGACATATGTCATTCGATTCGTCCAAAGGGGGGACCAAGCACATTTTTGGGGTGAAAAATTCGAAAATGCAAATTATATCTCATTCGAAAGAGCTCGTCGAGCTGAGTCGAATGACACCAAAATCAGCTTGATTGAACAAGTTTGAGTCGAGATATAGGGCTCGAAATGGTCAAAAACCATAGAGGGGATTTTATGGTCAAAAATTCGATTCCACAAATGTTAGCTCATTCGAAAGAGCTCGACAAGCTGAATCGAATGCACCAAAATCACCGTGATTGGACAAGATTAGACAAAGTTATGACACAAAAAACTAAACCTATGGAGCGTCGGCGAGGCGCTTGTGCAAAACCCCGCGCTTCGCGCGGGGTTTTGCGGCACGCGCCTCGCGGGGAGTCTACGGGCGGTGGGTCTGGGCTCGTAACATAAACCTATTCCTATCTCCCTTGCTCTGGACGTATTTGGGGCCTCCGTAGGAGCAAAAATCTCCACAAATGACATAGGTAAGGAGCTAAAACAAACGGTCATAACTTTGTCAAATCAAGTCGGATTTTGTTGATTTTGGTGTCATTCGACTCAGCTCGACGAGCTCTTTCGAATGAGGTATAATTTGCATTTTCGAATTTTTCACCCCAAAAATGTGCTTGGTCCCCCCTTTGGTTTTTCGATTTTTCGGGACCTATAACTCGGTCCAGAATTATTTCCTAAAGTAGGGAGTGGTACCGTTCGACTCAGCTCGTCGAGACGAATCGAATGACATATGTCACGTCCCGAACTTTTACCACCGGTACACTACACTACAGCCTTCTTTTTTTCGATTAATTTGAATAAAGTTATGTATTAAAAATGGTTCAATTTTTGCATAAAATGTATTAGTAAATGAAAGCCGGTTATGTTATTTTGTCAAAAAAATCTTTTACTGTAAAAACTTTTATATGTCATTCTCAGTAAACTAAGGCATAGCTCTAAAGGCTATAATTCGGATTCTACTTTTAAAACTTACCAAAATTAAAACGTTCCCAATGACATTAATTGTTGCTCTTTCATTAATTGTTTGAACTCCATTACCATACAAAAACAAACAAAATAATGGAATTAAATGAAAACCAGAATAACGAGCTAATAAAGATATAGACATATAAAATCCCTTAAAATTTAAAATAAAATAATAAAAATATTTTCTCAACTTGAACAAAAAAAGCTTTAGATTTAAGCATTTCATAGAGAATTTTTCTTTGATTTGATTGGATAGATTGTTGTTGTAAATGAACTCGATGTATTACACTAACGCTGATTGATGTCCTCGAATATTTGCTGTAGTTGTGGATATTGCAGCAGATCGTGAATTTCCAGGAAATAATTTTCTAAAAGACGAATCTTTAAATTCGAAATTGGTTAAAAATCCTATATTTATTTGTGCTTATTATTGAATAAAGAATTTGTCACTAGCTTAGATGTTGGTATGATCCTGCTAACAGAAAAATAGATTCCAAATTTAGTGAATCGGGAATTACCTCTCAACAAACGTCGGCATAACGAATTTTGTGAAACTGGAATCATTAGTAGGATCATGGTCTTTGTGTGAGGTGAATTGCTACTGGCCCTATCGATGTGAAGCTATTCTGGGTGTACAATCACATCCCTTCCCTATTTCCCTCAATATTCTGGGTATGTATTCAGCACGACTTCGGCACTATAATTTGTGAAACATGAAACACCTAATCCATTCTCTATATTATTTTTAAATGTTAATATTTATTAGTTTTCATCAAATATTTAAATTTTAAAATTAAATTATAAATTTAATAATAACTGTATCTTTCTTTCAAAATACACAGCTCCAAACAAATTAATTCCAATACACATAATCATTAAAAATCCAAGCAATATTTTCATTAAATAAGCCCCACTAAATCCATCATTATCATCATCATAACAGACACAATAAAATGAGTAGCTAACAATATTAAAACGAAGAACACAACGAAAAATAGCTCCGAAGATTAAAAGTAAAACTAAATTTGTAATTAATTAAATGAAATTTTTTTAAATATTTAGGTTAAAGATAACTTTTGATATAGGTACATTTTATATTTACTATTCATTTAACCCAAATAATCACCTTTCCTCAAATAATAACATCTTCTATTTACTAAGGCTCCCTAACAAATAAGGCTCCCTGTTGATTATCTAAAGCTCTATTGATTATCTATTACCTCAACAAGTTCAGATTACAAGCCTGGATAATTATCCTCCCTCGATTAATTACTCTAATGATTAATTGAAACATTAATTACCCTAAGTCATTATTCAAAAAATACAATAATATTTATCAACTTACATGCTAACCAAATCCAAAAACTTGTAGAAATAATAGAACCCCAATTATTTAATGCATGTATAGCTATTTCATTTTGTGAATATAATAATTGATTGTGAACATGTCCAAGTGATTGTAAAAATATAAAATGGAAAGTAGCCATGTGTGAGAGGGTTTCGCATGTTAGGACGGTTTCAACGAATCGAGATAGAAGAAATTCTTAATTTAAATTAATTAAATATTTAAAATAATTTTAATTAAGTTTTTAAAAATGTTTTAGGTTATAACTTGGATTATAATTTAAGAACTAAAGGAAGAAGAGCCTTATCGATGTAATTGAGGTCGGATTAGGCGGAATTACAACGAGAATTCTATAAAATATCTTCAATTAATAGAACAACCCGAAGTCTGTACCTGTTTTTTCATTTAGCTCTTAAATATAAAAAATCTAAGGAAAACGGGGTCACAGTTGTTCAATGTTTCGAATTTAATCCAAAGGCTACTTAGACAAAACCCGAGAACCTTAATCTGACTCTTTTCAACACACTTCCTCAACTACTAACCTCTTCCAATCTCATATGGTAAAATAACAGTAGGAACAATTACAAAAATTTGTGTGAGTGAAGATACTATATCAGCTATTACTAAATGTCTTGAACAAATATAAACAAATTTGGTAGAAAAATATCGGTGCCCATGAATTAAAACACAAGCATATAGTAAATTAATTAATAATGCAATTATTGAGAGTGGAATGAATAAAATGGAAGCAAATATGGAAACTGCTGTATTTAAATATTGTTCAGGAAGCATTACTTGAGAAACTTTCGCCTCTTGGTGCTTCACATTTCGTTAATGAATTTTATACAAATTGAGCCTTAGCATGGGAAGATTTTATTTAAAAATTATAGTAGTAGTAGAATATAATTTTCTTGAAAAATAAAGAATTTTTTTTCAAAATAATTGTACTAATACATATGTAGTTATCTTTATGAATGTCTGAGTATATTTAGCAATATAAGTAAACTAGTGCTAAATTAGTGTGCAATTGTTACTTATAATATTTATTTTTACTTTTAAATTTTACAGAGAAATTTTGTATGTATATTTGTATGTTAAAAATTTAAATTTTTAATTATTTCGAAAATAAATTTGAAAAATATTTTAAAGGTAAAAAGTGAAGAGTTATGTTAAGTAATTTATGAAAAGTTAAGTAATCTAATATAAAAAATAATACCAACATAAACTTTTATGGGACACATAAGCAATCATTTGACGCATAAATTTTGAATGAACTACAGATTTTCATTAGACTACCAAACTAAACCAGAGCCGAATAAAGTTTTCCGTCACATGTCCTGGTTCAATCGCATATTTAAAAAAATTTTTTAGTAATTTTTGCGATAAAAATATAATATTTATCTGCATTCATTTAAATAAAAATAAATCCAAAAATAATTTAAAAATGAATCATTTATTTTTTATAATTATTTCAGTAATAAATATGTAGTAGATGTACACAATTTTATTTTTCAGTAATAACAAAGTGTAAATTAAAATCATTAATTTACCCCTTTTATTATATTTAAATTAAATAATTTTAAAATTATTAAGATAATTCATATTCTCATTTAAATTTAATTCGACTTAATGTTTGTATTATTTATTTTAATTTTGAGTTTGCCAAATTTTATCAAAATTGAAGGTTAAAAAATTTAAAAAATGGATTTTAAAAATTCTTAAAATCAATCGTCCAAGATTTTAAAGAATTAAAAAAATTTCTATTCCTAAAATAATGTCCAACCTAATTATAGCGGAAATTTTATCTCAGAAATTTTGAATTAAAAAATCACTGAAAAATGTTAAGAGATAAGAATTAGGTTTAGAAGAAAAAGCTTTTAGATTTACCCAATTATATCATCAAATAAAGTATTAATGTAAAAAAATTTTAGTACGACAAAACCTGAGCACTAAACTAATAAAAAATGATTAAGAAAATTAATAAATTAATTTAATAGCAATTAAATGCTTTTTCAACGATTTCAACGAGGGGGATAATTTAAATGATACACTTGGTTACGACAACAAAACGCAGGCCTACCGAGTTGACTGTGCCAAAATGGGCAGTAATGATTTAGGGAATTGTTTGGCTTTATTTCGCTGTAATAATGAAGAACAATGTAAATAATTTTATAAATAAATTACACGGTCTGTTAACTCTGTATCTAACCAATGAGCTCCTAGTTTCACCTTCCACTAGATTAAGTCAAGCTGGTGCAAATCTTAAATCCCGGCTTAAGAGCTGTAAATTCTAGCCAGTGGTTTTTAATTAATTATTTCTCTAAATGTGTATAATTATAAATAATGAGGCGTACAAGATTTCCTCTCACAAATAAGGGGTTTTTCAATTAATTCATGAACAAAGTTTCATCTAATATACCGTATTTCCTATATTAGAGCCCCATGGGGCTCTATTTTTCAACTATCCTCCAAGGTGGGGGTGTATTAAAGGGTGGGGCTCTAATTGAGGGTGGGGCTCTATTTTTCAACCCTCTTTTGAGATAGAATCCCATTTATTATATCCATTACAACTAGAGATAAGCCGGAGGGTTTGGTCGATAAATCCGCAAAATATCGAAAGAGAATCTATATTTTTCGATTTTTCAAGAAAATCAAAACTTTTTCAGCAATGAATAAAAAATAGTCCCAATAGTTCAATGAGAGTAAGATTAATTATTAAATATTGGTAGATTTGGACGGATTAAAGGAAATATTATGGGACATTTATTTGACATTGATGGATCAGAGGGATAAAAATGGATTTTAAGGGATTATGGGGAATATCATAGGATTAAGTTTATATTGAGAGATTTAGAGGGATTATGAGGGATATTCTGGACTAGATGTATTAGGAAACATATGAAGGGATTTTGTTTGGATTTTGTTTGGAACAGGTTCCAGAACTGAAACTGAAGAAATTCAAAAAGTAGTTACAGAACTGCAACCGGTTCCAGAGAAATTTTAGAACTTCTCCATCACTGATTAAATCTCTATTAGATCTCTAATAATCTCGCGAATTATCATCACACGATTGCAACCCTTTATACAATGATTAGATTTTGGAGGTAATAGGAGGGATTTAGAGGAATATAGGCGATATTAGAGTATTTGGATGGATATAGGGGTTATCTCCTCCTTTTCATCCCTATATCCTCAGGATCCCTCCTCCTCCATGATCACGATATCATCGAAATCCCCCTTTATTTCCTTAACTCTCTTAATACATCTAAAAAATTCTTGGGATATTTTTTTCCTCCAATATTTTTTAGGTGGGGCTGTATTTAGGGTGGGGCTCTAATCGAGGGTGGGGCTCTATTTTTCAACTATCCTCCAAAGTGGGGCTGTATTAGAGGGTGGGGCTCTAACAGAGGGTGGGGCTCTAATATAGGAAATACGGTATTGCTAGTTTTGAGATGGTCCTACTCATAGTTCAAATAAATAATATAATGTTTTATGTTAGAGTTGACATTTTCAAACTAAACGAATTAGTGGAGATCTAGGTTCGGTTAACTCAAATGTGAAATCTGCTAATACCCTGATGCTAATTTATTTTTAGATGTACACAAATGTTTACACGAGGAAGATGTTAAATTCTATTTTAATGAGACAGATAAAAATTTAAATGTTCCAAAAGTAATTAACGAATTTAATTTTTGTGAAGTTTTGAACGAAGTAGATAATTGTCACCATTGTCTAATTTGTGGGACAGAGTATTGTAACGATGGATCACTTGTAAATTTAAGTGAAATAACTAGAACATCTGTCAATAAATTTTCGTATAAAATTGGGGAGGATTCGAGTGAAGATCCTGATAGAATCGGAGTAAACAATCCTTATACCAAAACTAATCCTACACCTAGTACAACAAGAAAAACTGAAAAGACAACGAATGAAATTTCTACAAATAGGCCTACTGAAGAATTTTTAAGTTCAAAATCAAATTCAGCGAAAATTAGTAAGTAAAAATATAAATACACTGCGAGAATCCTACATAATTAGGCTGTCATTTAAGTGACTTAGGCGGCTTAAATAATTATAAGAATTAAAAAATTACTTTTGATTATGATCTTATCAGAGTTGCCTATTTACTGGCAAAAAAATTATAGGATTAATTTTTCAAGAAACAGAGAGGGCATATATTTTATATAATTTGGGCATATTAGACATGTAAAAATTTTTATAACACTACAAAAAAACTAAAGAAATAATGGGCGATGAATTAAATTCAGATAGTAGGGAAAATGAACGAAATATCATATCGACTATCAGATAAATATAACCTCAGATAAGGTAATACGATTTACTCGAGTTACATCAATAAATAAACCATTTTAATGAATGAAGATCCTTTTGAATAATTTCAATCAAATTAAATTAACGAATTAAAGAAAATTTTAAAAAATAGATCCATGAGTACTAGTAGAGGGTAGTTAATATATAAACCTGTATCCTGAAAAGAAAACCAAGAGTGGCTGTATTTCTTAGCTAACGCCAAAGTCGGACTATATTTCAATAAGGGCCTTATTTTTGTAAATAATTATCTAAAAATTATCAAAAAATAGATGGAATATCATCAACTAAAAAGATTGAAACAACACAATCCGTTCCGAAAAAGAAAAGGATTTGTCCTTGGAAAAATGGCAGCAAAAGAAATTTAACTAGCACAGGATTTTCAATTTATATTAAAATTATTTTATCTTTCATTTTAGTTACTTTTATTTTATAATTAATATTTTTGAATAAAAATCGAATGTACTAATTTACTAGAATATCCAGTTCATGGTATTGGGGCTAGGACGGAGTTGGGTAATGATTGTTTTGTATGTACTAAAAAATTTTTCAGATTTTTTTCAATCGCAAATTTTGGCAATAGAACAGTTAAAATCTCGGCATTTGCTCAAATAATTACTGGCTAATTATTGCTCCAACCTCACGCTAGAGTGTATAAGTTATTCGAGAACTGAAATTATTGTTATTGAATTTGCACCAGGATCTATCATACATAATAAGCAAATTAATTTTAAAATTAATTTTTAAAATTAATTTTAAATTAATTATATTAAACTTTAAGATTATATTTTATATAATTACAAATAAAGATGATATTTTTTATGATGGACGAATATACATAAATTATAAAATAATAATTCGCAACATTAACACATTTCCTAACAAATTAATAAAAAAATATTTAGTGGTCATTGATGATCTGGTTATATAAATTTTTTAATATTATTGCACAACAACAGCTGCAAAATTATTAATATTCAAAAAAATAACCTAAATATATTGTCAAAATAAATTAATTTTAAATTTACATATTGGTGGAACATTGAAAATAATATCATGTGTTTAGCACTATTTTTATAAAAAATTTAAAACAAATGTTGCAACTTTTTTAAACTTGGATAGCCAGACAGACATTCTCATTTCTAATCCTTAATCTAATTTTTTATAAATAAATTTTCCCTTCAAATTTTTTTGGTCTAAATTTTTTGTTTAAATATTTGGCAATATATAAAGAAACAACATTGGAAGGTTTTATTAAAAAAATTTATTTGATAAATATTTCAGTTTATTTAAAACAGCTTAATTTCGAAAAATTAAATTATTATCACAAAGGTATCCTAAAATCCGGCAATAATTTCGAAAATTATTTATCTACAATATTCCAAAATTTTAATTCGCCTCGCTTTAAACTAAATATTAGATAATTATAAGTAATTAAGGGTATAGCAAATGCTGGATAGCTC